TGGCATCACAGCTCACAGCAACCTCCAACTCCTGGGCTCAAGTGAGTCTCCTGCCTCAGCCTCCCAAGTAGCTGGGACCACAGGCGGCCACCACAGTGCCTGGCTATTTTTTGGTTGCAGCCGTCATTGTTGTTTGGAAGGCCTGGGCTGGATTCAAAGCCGCCTACCTTGGGTGTATGTGGCTGGTGCCTTAGCCACTTGAGCCTCAGGCGCCGAGCCACAACACCAATTTTTACCATACCTTTTCTGTTTAGATACACAAATACTTACCATTGTGTTACAGTTGCCTACAGTATTCAATATAGTACATGCTGAACAAATTTGTAGCCTAGGAGCAATAGGGGTATTTGTATGTATCATGTAGCTTTGGGGTGTATGTAGTAGGCTATAACATTTAGGTTTGTGTGAGTACATTCTAGGATATTCCCACAATGACAAAATTACATAACACATTTCTTTTTTTTTTTTGGAGACAGTGTCTCACTTTGTCACCCTCAGTAGAGTGCTGTGGCATCACAGCTTACAGCAACCTCAAACTCTTGGGCTCATGCAATTCTCTTGCCTCGGCCTCCCAAGTAGCTGGGACTACAGGTGCCCACTACAATTCCCAGCTTACTAACACACTTCTCAGAATGTATCCTCATCATTAAGTGATACATGACTATATTTTGGCTTTTTACTTTTTTAGGTCAACAACTTTGTGATATTTGAAGGCTTCTTCGCCCATCAACATCGTAAGTTTTCTTACTTTGCACAGTGTTCATATAGTTGAGGTGAGGGGAAGGAAAGAGGTGGACTTCGGTCCCATTGGCCCCCTCACTGAGGGGCACCACCGCTTCCTTCCTCACAGGACCCCCTGTTCCCTCTTTGAGGGCATCTCGACATTCTCGTGCTGCTGCAGTCGATCCCACGCCTGCTGGTAAAGCCTGCTTTGAAGGGGTGGAACTGTAGTGCAGTGCTGGCTAGTTAGTCTAGGCCACAGGAGGACAGTGCTGCCAGTGAATTTTGGAAAATTCTAAAGCAACCCAAGTCTTCAGCAGGCATACTTGTTTGCCTTTGCCCTCATGGGAGCTCAGTGTATTTTATACTTGTCAAGACTTTTAGTAGGGCGGCACCTGTGGTTCAAAGGAGTAGGGCACTGGCCCCATATGCCCAGCCCCGGTCAAAAACTGCAAAAAAAAAAAAAAAAAAAAGACTTTTAATAAGCATACTCATTGGGAGCCTATTTGATAACTGATGTCAGTGAAGCCTCTTGCTAGTTCAGTTCCATCAAATTAGGCCAGAGTCATGTTCCTTTTTAATTCCTCAGGTTTCTATCAACCAATGAGGGACAGGTCCCTTCCATTTCCATGTCATAGGATAGTGACATGAATAGGCCAAAGTTTAAATACTAGTTTTAGAAGATAACACTTAGAATTTATAAAATTTCCAACAAAATAATTGACTTGATCTGATCTGGAGAAACCAAACCTAGAAGGCACTAAAGTGCTGCTCAGGTTCCCTGTCCCATACACACACACACACAGTGCCAGTCTGAGCCCCGCTCTTCCTCTTCCTCACTCCATCTACCTTATGAAGCTGGAACAGCACATCCTCCTACCAGCTGTGCGGTGCTTGCTTGCACAGAGAGCCCCCTTCCTGGGTAGGTTTGTGGCTAGCTCCCACCTTCCTCTGTCACTAGAAAAGGGAGGCATTCACTATCAGCCAAAGAACAGTCTTTTACAAGTGTCACTGATGTCAGGCACAAAGAGGCCCTTGATATCCATGACTTGCTTTGGTCTCCATGGCTTCTCCCATCTAGCCCTTGGTGACCTACAGTCTGTCAGAGCCAGAGTGGGTGTGAGGATTCAGGCCTGCAGGGAAGGGTGCTGTGAATAAAGCTAAGTGGATTCACTTAGCAGTCCCTCACTTGCCATATGAGAGGGAGAAACTCTGGAGAGGAAAGGGGGAGAGCAAGTAGAGAAGGGAGGATGGAGAGGCAGAGCTTTGGATAATATATCAGCCTCCCATTTACTTGGGTAGCTCTTTTTCAGATGTCCATATTTTCTCCTTAACCTTTATTTTTTTTTTAACCAAACTTTAGTTTCTTCCCATCTTTGCACAGGAAGGAGAGGTTCTGCCCCACCCCATCTCCCCTGACCTCTCCAGAGCAATTCCTGATTGACCAAGGGCTTTGTCCATCTCATCTAGAGGAACCCAGGGTCCTTGATGGCCCAGCTGGGACCATTCCACTGCCCCAGAATCCCAGGGGGGCCTGACAGCATGCACTGACAGTAAGAGCTCGCTCCCCTTGGCCGCCCTTCTCCTACCATCTCCCAGGCCCCCAGAGTTTCCCTTTGGATCTCCCTTAACCCTGTGTTTGGCCTCCTCCTTCTGGCTCTCCTTGAAAATGCTCCAGCAATCCCCCAAGCCCTCTTTTGGTGCGCTGGCATTGCCAGGCGCTGCTTCTGTCATGAAGTTCCCAGGAGGAACTGTGGTGTCAGAGCAGAGGTTTGGGGATTTGGGGGTAGTGGCTGGGAGGTGTACAAAGTATGTCTCCTAATGCTTGCATTGCTTGTGTCCCCTCCAACACCAGCTCCACCAAGGAAGCTTCCACCCAAGAGAGCAGAGGGAGACATCAAGCCATATTCCTCTAGTGACCGAGAATGTAAGAGGGTCCAGGGATAGGCTAAACGGGCCTGGGGGACCTTAATCTAAGGGAAGCGAATAAGAGGGGGATCCAGGGCAAGGATTCCTTCTCTCTAAACGCTGATTTCTCCTTTTGCTATCCTAATCTTTTCTGTCATGACTTCTCTCTCTCTTCTCTATTTCTTTCTTCCTCTGTCTTGTTCTTCTTTCTTTCTCCCCAGTTCTGAAAGTAGCTGTGGAGCCTCCTTGGCCCCTAAACAGGGCTCCTCGTCGTGCCACACCTCCAACTCATCCACCCCCTCGCTCCAGCAGCCTGGGAAACTCACCAGAACGGGGACCTCTCCGCCCCTTTGTGCCAGAGCAGGAGCTGCTGCGTTCCCTGCGCCTCTGCCCCCCACACCCTACTGCCCGCCTTCTGCTGGCTGCTGACCCTGGGGGCAGCCCAGCTCAACGTCGCCGCACAAGGTAATAGGAGTTGGAGGGTTAGGGAGCCTCTGGACTGTCAGAGAGAATGTTAGAAATGCAAAGGGCAGTTTGAATCCACCAGAGATGTGGAACAATCTCTTGATATCCATGGGATATCAATTGATTTCAGGGAGTCCTGAAATCTTGCAAGAAAAATATTTGTGGATGTGATCTAAAGATTAGTGAAGGAACAGAACAGGACTTGATATAGACCCTAAGAACCCTAGTTTTAGTGTGAGATTTTCATAGGATAGGAAGAACACAGCGATCTACTGGGGGAACTGAGCTGTCTAAGATTGGGGAAATCTTAGCTAAACATTTGCTAGGGGTAGTGCCTCTGACACAATTGGGGAGCCACTGGCTCCATGTCTATGCCTTGTGAGCCAAGAGTCCATCTCAGCAGCCAGGGAGTGGATATTTCCTTTATTTCTTTCCCTAGCTTTCTCCTCACCTCTGACTTCTGTTTTTCTCTCTCCCCTGTTTTCCCTCTCCCTTCCTCCCATCCATAACATCCTTCCACAGCTCCCTTCCCCGTTCTGATGAGAGTCGATACTAACAACTACCCTATCCCCTCCCTAGGAGACACTGGGGGTGGGCAGAGACCCTTCTCCCTGAGAACTTCAGACTCCTTCTTCTTTTGCATCCTCTAGGACCTAGTGGAAACACATAGAGCCCACAGGATTCCCTCTTCCCCTTTTTGTGGACAATTGGGTTGTCAGGGTCCAAAAATTGCCTAACACTTTATAACTTTTCTTTTTTCCTTTTTAAATTTACTTAACTTTACCATTCTGCTACTGAAGTTTATTGCTTTTGTTACCACAAAAATCACCCCTTATCTCCTAACTTGGGCTCTGAATACTCTCAGCACAGACAACCTGATCTATTTCCAGCCCCTTTGGTTGGGTGCCTCATACTAATTTTCTACAAAAGCAATTTTTGCTTGCTGTCACTCTAGAACACTATGGAAGGTCCCAGGGCTTCCTCCAAGAGGGAAACCTTTTAAGGATTTTTATCCATGGAATAAACCCCATATTCCCTCTACAGTGTCTGCTGGTAGCTCTGATATTGCTTTGTGCTGCCTGCCACACTTGCCAGTTGGGCCTGCTACTGCCAGCCAACAAGTGAGCTCTGCTTCAGAGCAGTCCAGTTAGGTAGTGCAGGGACTTACTAGCTCCCCAAAGGGATCCACTCCACATTGCCAAACTCTTAATTTCCAGGTGTTGTGTGTGTGTCAGGAAACCCCAGACTAATGTCTTCTAAGCACCACTTCCTCCATCCAGATCCAGATTTTTTGAGGGAATTTGGTTTTTAGCAGTAGATCCCAGCATGCTGGGATCACTCTCAACTATGTTTCAGAAAATAAGCCAACGATCTATTAGACTTGGAAACTCCTCTCACATCTATCCTTCCCCGGAAGCAAGATGCTAATATATTCCTGTCTTGTGAGATTGTCTTGAGATGTGGGGACCACGATTTTTCTGGCCTTCCTCTCTTTACTCTGTAGCAAGAACCTCCTTCCCTGCTCCATGCCCAGGGTATAGCTAGATCCTTCCCTACCCTCTGAATGTGTGGTAGATCAGGTACCTCCACTATGTTCCCTGAAATCCTTGGGAGCCGGATCTCCCCCTTTCTCCCCACTCACTCCTCCCTTTTCCTCTTCCACTCAGTGTTGTCTGAATAAAGTGTGAATTCTTTTGTGTTTTCTAAATTGACATTTTCAATGAAAAAAAAAGAACACACAAAAAAACTTAATGTGTCAGCCTTGTTTGTGCATTCCTCCAGATTTTCCTGGGATCTCAGGATTTCTATCCATCCCATCTTCACTTCTGAGATCTGCAGATCTTTTACCAAGGGGCCACAGAACTCCCCTTCCAGGATCTGGTATCTACCCATCCCCATCTACATTGCTGGTTCTCCTCTCTGCAGAGTCTGTGTCTCCTCTCATGCAGTTGCTGGATCCTCTCCAGGAACCTCCAGTTCTCCCTAGTGACTTTTACCCTTTAACCCAGGCCAGCCCTTGCTAAGATGTCAAGATTTACCAACATCTCTGGATTCACTAGTTACCTCCTGACTCCTGGATTCCCCTTCCCAGTCTGTGATTTCCTGACGTCTACCCCACCATACCCTCAGCTCTCTCAAAACAGGCCCTTACTCCACTGAGAACCCAATATAATCTGTCAACCTTTGACCTACTTCCCCTTTTCTCCTAAATTCACCCTTGTAGGCCAGGCCTGGTGGCTCATGCCAATAATCCCAGCACTTGGGAGGCTGAGGTGGGTTGATTGCCTGAGCTCCCAGATTTGAGACTAGCCTGAGCCAGAGCGAGACCCAGTCTCTAAAAAATAGCTGGATGTTGTGGCGGGCGCCTGTAGTCCCAGCTACCTGGGAGGCTGAGGTAAGAGGATCACTTGAACCCAAGAGTTTGAGGTTGCTGTGACCTAAGATACCACAGCACTCTACTAAGGGTGACCAAGTAAGACTCTGTCTTTAAAAAAAAAAAAAAAATCACCCTTGTAAGTCCTTATTTCCCTCTGATCTGAGATATCTTATACTTAAGGTAACCATGTTTTCTGAACCAAATCAGGGCATCTGTCAAACAAATTCTTTTTTGCCTACATGTGAGTTTGTTCTTATGACATAATTTAGATTACATTTAGCCATACATTTAACATTTACCTCAATTAGAAAGAATAAAACAGATCAGGACTTCTCTAGAAATAGAAAATCTTAGGGTGTATAATGAGTTCCCCCTCCTTGGGGGTGGGACTCAGCTTAGATTAGAACCCCCTAGGAATGATAGTTACCCCCTTCTCTCTGATCCTACCCTGTACTTCTCCTTTGATTCCTCCATACCCACTCATCTTTCATCCTGTAGCCTCTTCCCCATCATCTCCCATTTCTTCTACAGGGGCAGTTCCCCAGGCCTGGTGGCCCAAAACTGCTGCTACAGCCGCCATGGGGGGTTGAAGTCCTTATCCCCCAATGCAGGTAAGTATTTGTTCCTCCTTACCCCCAAATCAAGTAGGCCACATTGACTGTCTACTCCAGCTTCCCATGCACATGCATGGTATTTCCACAGGCAACCAAGATTTGAAACAGGGGGAACAAGAAACAGAGAATAGGTGAGGTCTAAACCCCTCCCCTGACAGCCTCTCACTACCTCGACTCCTCTCCTAACATCACTCCCATCCATTCTGTTCTCCTAAATCTTACCCTATGAACTGGACACCAGCTGCTCCCACAAATCCTTTTACCTAACATTCTGAAGGCCTCTTTCCTCATAGGGTCAAACAACTCTGATACTTCTCTTTGACATTCTCTGAAGGATTTTAAATTTGGCCATAGCACTAATGGTTCCAGCTCATACTCATCATGTGTCCTCCTCTATACAATTCCCAGTTTAGTGCCCTGTGACTCATTATCCATCTCCCCACCTACCAGGTCTGCCAGTGAGGAGCAGGTCTTGTCACAAGATAGGTCTGGGGAGAAGCCCACGCGCACAGTTCCTCCACAGGCCCAGGCCCTGGCCCCACCAGCCCAGTCCTGGACAGTGGGTGGGGACATGTTCAATGCCAGGTTTATTCGAAACCTGCACGAACGTCGCAGCACTAGACCTTGGTGACCAAAGTTCCTTCTCACACCTTCAAAGTCCGTATTATATCCCTACTACAGAAGAGTGCCAAAGCCCAGCTTTCATAATGGATGGATTCATTCATTCATTCATTCAACCAACAGGTTTTCTTATTTCCTCCAAATAACTTGTGTCTTACCTTTAGCCAGAGCAATAAAAGTATTTATTTTTATCACGAAAGCTATTGAAAGATTTGACTGTCATTACTTCAATCCCACCCACCCCTCACTCTCGGTGCGCACGGTTCAGCCCCATCTTCGCTCAGCTTCTGGCAAAAATGCTTCAGGTGAGAGTACAAAGTACAGGGTGCTAATTTACTGCGCAAGCGCTCTGAGGCAGCCTCCAGTCCGGTGAGCGCAGGCGCACGACCGAGCGTCCCCGGCAGCCTCCCTGGAATCCGCAGTGCGCAAGCGCGCAACATCTCCGTTTTCCTCCCCTGAGCCCCTATTTCCCCCCTCCTTTCCCCTTCACGAAACCGGCTCCAGGGCACGCTCACCCCTGTAAGGAGGCCGGAGGCCGGACTCGGGAGACGCTCTCTCCACTCCCGGAAGATCATGTATCAGCCCAGCCGGCGGGCGGCCCGGCGTCTCGGCCCCTGCCTGCGCGCCTACCAGGCTCGACCCCAGGTGAGAGAAGAGGAGAAGCGGGAGGGGAGAATAGGGGGCGGGGAGAGACCCTCCTCAGAGTCTGTGCGTGGGGCGGAGCGCGCTCCGGCTTTTGCGCAGGCGCAGCGGCACTCACCGCCCCTTCCCACCTGTGTCTTGGGGCGCGTGGACTGGCTAGGGGTCGGCGGGGGCTATAAGGCAATGCTGCCCCGCCCCGCGTGCGATTCTCCCAGATCTGAAGGAGAGCAGGCGGGGTCAAGGCCGGGGCAGCGGGGCGCGTCCGCGTTGCACCCTGGTCTCCGCCGTTACCTGTGCCTGGAGGTGATTTGAAGGGCAGGGGCGGAGAGGTTCGCAGCCCAGCCGCGGCGCTGCCCCGGAGTTCCCCAGTCCAGACCAGACCCACGGGTCGTGCTCCATAGCCCGCGCATCCTGCACCCGAAGAGCGGTCCCGGCAGGAGGCAGGCCCAAGTGAACCCGGTTCGGGCCCCTGCGCCAGGGCTGGCAAGATGGCCACGCCCCCAGCACACATGGCGCCTCTGGGACACCGTCGGGGACAGAGGTACCCGAGCGCCCCGCTCTCCTTCCCCGGAGTGAGACCCCCCCGCCCCAAGGGGGTTCTTGGGAGCAGTGGGACTAGAGTCAGGCCTGAATTTGGTCGACTTCCGCTCCTCGCCGTTTTAACGTCGGTAAACCAGGGAGAATGAGGCCCAACCTTTAACAGTCTCCAGTTGTGTCCGTCATTAGAGGGGCCCTGAAATGATAAAAGTTTCCTTTTATGTGTCACTTTACAAGCCGCAACGTTTCATTTACATCCATCGTCTCACACAGTCCTCACTTATAGAACGTTTATAGGAAATGGAAGCATAGGAATGAGAGTGCCAAAGTTACAGGGTAGAATTGGAACTTGAATTCTTGGCTTCAGCTGGATATTTTCTCTGTGCGACATTTGCCTCACACTTAATTGTGAGGTATTATAGGCCACATCATTTTGTGCACAGTATAATATAGCCTATTATTTATTAGTACATTCATCCAATATGTATTCTTACATGATTCTTGCTATAAGAGGGATGAAGCTGCCCCCGGTATTGGAATTGTAAAGGTATTTGCTAATATTTGGGGTGAGGTAGTGTGGTCACATAAAACTGTTTCCTCCTGTTTTCAGTAGAGATGGAGGTGAATCCATCCCTTTTCCCTCTAGAAATTATGTCTTCTGTCAGGAGTAGGTGTTAATGAGCATCCAAGGCATGGAGGGGCATTAGGCATTTGGATTCTTAACCTTTTTCCCTTTCTCCCTCCTTAGGACCAGCTTTCTCCACGGACTCTACCATTCCCGCCCCTTTGGCCCCACTCCACGACACCCACTTCCCCATCTTCTCCTCTTCTCTGGTCCCCACCACCTTTATGCCCTGCCAGCCTTCATCTTCCCCCAGCTCCCCCTTTCCCTCTCCCTCAGGTCCAGGCCCTCAGCTCACCATGGGTGGTTCTCCCTCCAGGAAAGGGGGAGGATGGACCAGGACCTGAGGTGCACAGTGGCTGCCTGGATGGGCTTAGAAGCCTTTTTGAGGGACCTCCCTGCCCCTATCCTGGGGCTTTGATACCTTTCCAAGCCCCTGGAACTGCCCACCCTTCCCCTGCCACCCCATCAGGAGATCCTAGTATGGAGGAACACCTGGCTATCATGTATGAGAGACTGAGACAAGAAGTAAGTTATTATAAAAGTGGTCTTTGTTTATAGTGGGAAAGAATGTGGGTAATCGTTGGAAATAGGGTTTAATTGACTGGATTCTTTTTTTAGAACCTTGAGGCAAGCAGAGAAATGTGTTGTAAACATTTTCCTGAGGAAATGATACTCCTCAGTTTGGGTTAAGGGAGGTTAGACATGGGATAAAATGACTTTTCACTCAGAAGGGAGTAAGGAGGCCCTAAAAATAGAAACCTGAAAAATAGGATCATTTTTCCCTGCACTAAGTTGATGCCTCCTTCTTCCACCTAGCTTCCCAACCTCTTCCTTCACTCCCATGACTACACTCTCTATTCTTTGGATGTGGAATTCATCAATGAGATCTTGAACATGCGTACCAAGTGAGAAATGGGGCATGGGTAGGTTTGGGGAGAAAAGGGCACGGTCCTATACACCTGACCTGGAAAAGGTCCCAGGCTGCTTCTTACAACTGTTCCTCATTCCTTGAACAGAAGCCAGTTTGGTTTTCTAATTCTGCCATCATGAGATTTCTTTCCCATCCCTTATTCACAGAGGCCGAACATGGTACATTTTGTCACTGACCCTCTGTCGTTTCCTGGCCTGGAACTATTTTGCACAACTTCGTTTGGAGGTTCTACAGCTGACTCGACACCCAGAGAACTGGACCCTGCAAGCCCGCTGGCGGCTTGTAGGGCTGCCTATCCATATGCTCTTTCTGCGTTTCTATAAGCGTGACAAGGATGAGCTTTACAGGTAAGAGAGAAGTGAGAAAGGACCCAAACTATAATCAATTCTTTCATCTTCTTACCCTTTTAGAAATTTGATGATATAGTCCAGGGGTCCTCAAATTTTTTAAACAGGGGGCCAGTTCACTGTCCCTCAGACTGTGGGCCCTGGGATGAGTTGGCTGCAAAGCAGGACAGGCAGTGGCAGCAAAAACACCTAGCAGGCCAGATAAATGTCCTTGGCGGGCTGCATGTCACCCATGGGCTGTAGTTTGAGGATGCCTGATCTAGTATCCCATACAATCCTTGACCTACCCTGACTTGACTGCGGACTGCTTAAGGACAGGGATCTTGTTGTCTACATTAATATTACAAAAATATGGCTTGGCGCCTGTGGCTCAAGCGGCTAAGGCGCCAGCCACATACACCTAAGGTGGCAGGTTCGAATCCCCAGCCCGGGCCCACCAAACAACAATGATG